GCTGGACCAGACAGATTGATGATAGGAGTCATAGGACGCATCGTAGAGGAAGACGTGAGTCCCACGAAGAGGAAGATTGGTGGCAAGTTGGCAACGTTGAAGTGGTTGAGGTGTCAGGGACTAACAAATTGTTCTATGCTTGAAGAACAACGACGCTGCAGTCCAGTTTATGATGTTGGGGTCCAAGATGTGGAGAGAGATAGTCAAGGGGGCCCTCCGCAAAAGGGGCAAGGCAGTAAAAGTCCGTTTAGGGTTCAATGCAAGTCCGTCAGATCAGGCAGCATGACCCTTTGTGCTCGCAGTCTAGGCACCACGACCAAAGTGGAGGACAAATATCATGGAGGATGACAATGACGAGCACTGATGGCGTTCTTCACTTATGATATTCCTTACTTAGGACGAATACTTCGTATGTACTCTTAGACGCTCGCTCATTGGAGTTGGTTGCCGCACGACACACTTTTTTATTGTATTTTCTCCTTTGTTTTGTTTTACGGGCACTTGCGACGTACAATTACATTCTCTGAGGAGAACACTAATTGTATGGAGGTGTTTGTGCTTTTGGGATTTTTCATTTTTGTTTATACGAATCACTAGTCTCCTCCTGACATTGATGTCAAAGACCTTTATGATCACCCAAGAAATAATAACTCTCAAGTAATAACGACTATGTTTCTTTGTAGAGCTACGAATTGTCGAATAATGACCTTCAACTGATAGCTACTAGGTTTCTTTGTAAAGCTACGAATTGTCGAAAACGTTGTTACCAACATCGAAAAATTCCACCCCATTAGATATTTTCGAGACTTTGCTTAGATAGGAAACCCACCAAGGTAGGCTTTGAGATTAAAGTTCGAGAAATGAAGGCAATAATCACAAAAATAAATTGACACTTACAAGCTAAGAAAAAATATTTACCCTTCTTCAGAAGCTCAACACAACCATCAACTTGAATCATCGAAAAACCGTACTTATGTTTGATAACCTTCCAAACCTCAGCCCACTCGCAAAAGTGACAATATTGGCAACACAAGCATCCAAGATAGCCTACAGACGACCTGAGATAACATTTGTAAACAACGATTTCGTTAAAATTGACATATTTTCATTTTTTAACGAAATTAAAATCTTAATGTTTTGCATAAAATTCATGAAATTGAGGGTACAACGTTATCAAAACGCCCTACCCCTTCGACATATTTGGATTTAGCTAGATCTAGACTTAGTTATATTTGGACTTAGCTATATCTAGACTTAGTTAAAGTCTAGATACATCCAAGGGGTCTGACGTTTTAAACCTGGATGTACGCGAACTTTAACTAAGTCCAAACATATCAGGGGTTTAGGATGTTCTTGTAACGCCGTACCCTCAATTTCATGAATGTTGTAGAAAAAATGAGATCTCAATTTCATTAAAAAAAAAACATATGTCCATATTAACGAAATTGTTGTTTGTAGCTACGTAGCATCGCGCTCGGGCTCGGTGGCCGAACCCGAACGCTCGGTACCCGAACATGGCCCAAAATAGCCCGAGCCTGAACATTTTTATTTGTTTTTATATTTTTATTTATTTTTTATGTATATAGGGGTTGGGGGGCCCTGGTGGGCATTGCTCATCACTTCTGAACATACACATACACATATACCACACACACACACACCCACCCACAAATACCCTACACACACTCCACACACCACACAGACACGAGGACGTGCTCGGCAGACCCCTAATTTGCGCTCGGCCGAACATGTTCGGTTGCTCGATGGGGCGCCAAACATGTTCGGTGTGCTACACAGGTTTGTAGTAGTATGAAAAACTAAGCGAGTTCTACGAGGATCTTTGTCTTGAATCACCCCAACTCCTCTAGCCCCGATTCCTTACTCGTTTGCCTAACCTACGACACCTCGACTTAATAACCTTATCTCTATTGTTTATATATGGACACACATACTTGATAATGTGTTTCTAAAAAAACAACACATTTGGCGAGGGTTTTGGGGCTTGAAGGCTCATGTAGGTAGGGGGCACTCGTTGTATGTTTGAGTTGTTGGGCTGCTTGGGTTCGATCTTCTGATGTGTGGTATGTTTGATTTGCTAGGGTGTTTTTATTTGATTTTCTGATGTGTGGCTTAATTGCGGTGCTTTGAATTGTTGAGGGTCCTAGAGTCCGATCTCTTGATGTGTTGTTTAATCGTGGTACTTTGAATTGTTGAAGTTCCTTGGATTCAATCTCTCGATGAGTTACTCAATTGCAGTACTTTGAATTTATGTGCTTGATAACGAGTTGGGATATTTTAGGTAGGCTTAGCTGTGGTTTTTCGTTTTGTGAGGTTCTTTGGGTTCGATCCTGAATTCTGGTTATTGTGACGTGAGTCTACGCTATCTAAGCTGGTGGGTCCTGAGGATTTACACTATAGTTTTTGACATCGGAGCGAGTAGTGGTATTTGCTTAATGCTGAAATTTATGCTTTTTGTTTAGGATTCCAACTATGGTCTCTGTTTCGGTAATAAGTTAGAGTATATTTGACGATGCGGGCTGATCGAGACATGAAACCCTCTTAAGAATTTGTGTGATGAGAACTAGGTCTGTATTGAGGCGGTTTTAAGGGTGATATCTTTTGAGGCTTGCTGTCACCAGAATTTTTAGTAGTGGGTCTACTTCTATTTGTGCGTACATATCCTATTGTTCTTTCTCTTTGTTAAAGAAGATATATGACAAAGATCCCTGGAGAGTTCTGGATGAGACTTGTTGGGTCATCCTCCAAAGAGTTTGACATAAATCTTTAACGATATGGGCATATGACGTCCACGTGTGAATCAAACTTCATAGGCTTGGTCGTCATGTTACTATTTTTCAGCCCAATGTCGCATTCGGGATACTATGACATGTTAGTGTACTATTTTCTTTCTTCATCTATTTTCTTCTTCCTTTCTCTCTACATACTTTCATTCTTCTTTTTCTTTCAATATGCTGTCATGAGTCAGAGTCTTTGTGTGATTGACATATGGTCTTGTCATGATTGAGTGAGTAGGTCCCCACAAACCGACGCTCATATGAATTTGAAGACAATGACACAACAAAATTGAAGAAGAAGATGATATGAGCTTTACTATCATGATGCAATCAACTTTCTCCCGTCATATCCCCGATGAACACTGTCGAAGAACCAAATCCTTTAGCTTATACACCACTTAGATTGAGGATTCCTACTACCACGTTCCACTTTGTATATTAGCGTACTCAATCTTTCCCTTATTAACAGTAGTTGAAAATATATTTTTTACAGTAATGTTTATACGTGATTTGATTCAGAACTTCCTTTTAAATATATTGGTAAGGATACCGCGCACAATCTGCGTTGCGCATTGCTGGTTTACTCCATTATTTAAATCGATCATATCAACCAAGCCCAGTTGGAACCTGCGTAGCATCGCGCTCGGGCTCGGTGACCGAACCCGAACGCTCGGTACCGAGCCTGAACATGGCCCAAAATAGACCGAGCCCGAACATTTTTATTTATTTTTTTTATATATAGGGGTTGGGGGGCCCTGGTGGGCATTGCTCATCACTTCTGAACATACACACACACACACACACAAACACACACATACACACACACACACACACACACACACAGATACCCCCCCACACTCCACAAACCACACACACACAAGGACGTGCTCGACAGACCCCTAATTTGCACTTGCCCGAACACGTTCGGTTCCTGCTCGACCGAGCATTTGAACATGTTCGGTTGCTCGGTGGGGCGCCGAACATATTCGGTGTGCTAAACAGGTTGGAACAATTTTTTTTTTCCATCGTGCTCTCAACAAGGCCATGAGCTCAACTTTTACTTGGTCCGCCTTAGTAATCGTGCATATCAGATCAATCACATACCAAACACCCCCCGCCTCAATGGTTGATTTAACATCTTTCAACAAAAGTTTCCTCATTCTTTTGTCAATCTTCGAGAATCCAAAGAGAAAACAAACCAAACCGTCAAGCTTTAAGTCAGTGGCATCCTTGATTATCTCGCATGAACACATTTCCCTGAGTCTTTTGTTTCGATAATAATTTCAAGATATTAAGAAGGTCAAAATCACGATTGACGTTAATACATCCACAGTAAAAAACACAAGCTCAATGATTTTTTAAACATACATTTTATTTTCATTTTTTGTTTTTTCCCTACACCTTCGAATTTTTTTTATTGCGTTTCTTGCCTATTGCATTAAGACTTGGGTTATGACTTTTAATAATATTTTTTTCTATTTCTTCAATCTCGTTGTTAATTTCAAACCAAATTGGGATAGGAACATAGTTGTCCAGAACAACTTTCCTCAACCAACTATGCACTTTTTGTTTGCTAGTACACTTAGTTGCACGCTTGCGCTCGACGACCCTTCTTTCAAAGGTTTGAACGTTTTCCTTACGTACACTAACCGGTGGTTAAGAGACATCAAAATGTACACACAACTAGTCTCATCCAACATCCTAGTCCACTCGAGGGAGGTTAGCCAAAGCCAGAACCTCACATACACCTGTCCTCATGCAATGTAGTATTTTACACATGTTAATATGATGATCAGAGCATGAATCTAATCGAGAATCCACTCAATCTCACTGTCGATGAAATGTTTCAGTCTTACAAGCCGACGGGTGGCTCGTTGGAATGAACAGAGATCTCTCACTATCGAGATTAAATTTGTAATCGTACTAATCGATGCATCATCCGTATTGTCAGCCTTCCTCAACTGACCTGTTCATTGTGGATGATTCACCTTTCTTCGACGCATTATCATCGTTGATGAGGTCCATGTACTCCTAGAGATCAATCTTGGCGAGTTCCCATGCTCCTAACTCCTTGTGAAAGTATTGAACACCCTTCTACTTGCATAGATCTTGTATGTATGTGTAATGAAAAGAATTGTAGAATTTCAAGCGCAACTTCATATATGTCGTCGCCCCTCCTTCATCCTCTTGTTCATTAGGATTTACCCTTCCCCCGTTCTGGACCAGATCTTCGTCTTCTTCTGCCACGTCAACTTGCACCTTCACTGGCATCGTCCACGCCGACCTTTTGCCTTTGCGATCGCCGCCAACTTGTACTAAGGTTATGAGTAGCTTCTTGATATCCGCCAATTCACTATTGTCATCAAGCTTCGACAACAAGTTCTGCTTCACACCTTGAACATCGTTGCCCCCCTCTTCCTCATCCGATATCTAAACCCGCTTGGATCAAGATTAGTTTTCATGCTCCCCCGCGTCCACGATCTACCTCTACTGCCTCTAGGAGATGCCTCCGCAGATGTCTATTCGCCACCCCGCTTGCGTTTCTCATCACTTGGAAGTTCCTTACTCTCCTTTTCTAGCTTTGGCTTCTCTTCCCTAAGCCTTTCCAACTCTTTCTTTTGTTCATCAACAAGCTTCTTCCGCTTATCGACGATTCTCATACCCCCCCTGTCTCTCTTACCACCTACTACCTTTTTTTCCGCCTCCTCTAATGCTTTATCCATCTTAATTCCCTCTAAAATGTCCATGTACTGCTTCGTAAAATAAACCCTATTCCCAAACCCTGAAAATGCGTTTGATGTAGGGCCTTTCCCGTTCGACTGCCGCTCGTTGGCTCGCAAATTTATCAAATGATGCATGTTTGATGTGTGCGCAATTTCATACTCACCACCAACACTCTCCCACACACCACACACAACACCCTTCCCCACACACGCACACCTGTGATCGACAGTGTCGAAGGTGGTCAGTGGGGACTAAACCCAGGACCTTTTGAATGCCACTTGCGTGTCTAACCAACTGAGTTTGATCCCTTGCTCTTTTACATTGTTTTTCAAATATGGGTCAGGTTTGATATTTTTTTTTTTTTAGAATAACGGCGGATGCGGCTTGTTTTGAAACCCTAGAGGCAAAAAAACTTGTGTCTGCAAAGGAACCACGCGCCAAGTCGAAATGAGCGATTTCGGTCCAAAAGTACCCGATAGGCATTTTTGATTTTTTCCCCCCCTCTGATAATACGGTTGACCCCTGCATATATGACACCCAGTCTGACACCTCGATTGTCCGTACTTCCATTGCCTTTTCAAGCTCGACACGGTTTTCTTTGCCGACGCGTGTTTGTTTTGCCCATTCGATACTCAAAGGTGACATGAACATTGTCGAGTGCATCGAATCCCGCCTTTTTCACAAAAGGTGAGAGTCCTCCCAGCCATGTCACGCAGGAGTTAAACAAAACAAAATGAGAGACAACTCGGTGACGACATATAAATATTTTCGCGAACCGCTGAGATGGGCGAGGTCTCGTCATCCCTTCGTCGCTCTAACTGGGTGCGCCAATTGTACGTCCCGCGATCCCCTACGACAAGATAGGTTCCTGCGGGGCACAACTTTTCTTCCCTAAGGGGTTTTCACCACCCTTAGGGCCGTATCCCTACCGAGCTACTCACCCACGTACGGAAGTTTTTAGATGCAATTACAGAGGTAGGTCGGCCAAGGGAGGTTGCTCGTTTCGCTGTAGCATATATACGCATGGGTAAAACTCCATTGTATCCCGAACGTTGCCCGTTTGCTCTAAGTGCTAATCTCCTAAGCTCGAGGCATAATCCGGTCGACTATGACAGTTTCATACAAACGTGAAACCCATTAGTTAATCCTAGTCCCTTTAGACACTAGTAAAAAGAAAGCTACAACAACCCTACACAGTTACATTAAAAGGAGTCGATCGTGGTCGATAGGACGGTTCATCCAATCTAAAATGATAACTGAAAGAATTTAAGTCATCATATTGTACATCCAATAACACAAGATCGAAATAAAACCCGACAACGTCGTTCAAATTCGATAACTAAAACAAATCGTACTGAACCATAAAAAAAAAAATGAATTTAACAATAATCTTCGATGCAACTGAAAAAGTAGTGAGCCGCCTTAGTTTTGACTAGATGAGACTTGCCGCCAAAGACATTCATTCCTCCTATTGCTGACTTAAAATTGAACACTCATATCCATCTTCATACATCTTAGTCTTCTTGGATGACAAATTGCTTTGTGGATGATTCTTGATCAGATCCATTACTTGAAGTGTTACATGTCCCTCTCTCTAGGAAGTGGTATGGGGTACTCCTCGTCCTCACCCGAGCATAAAACTCGAATCTCAGAAGTCGGACCATCTCCACAAAATCGGCATATACCCTCCGTATAACGGTCCACTCTGGCTCGATAACAGGGTTGGTTCCTGACGCAACGAACTCCCGCCCCTGATGCTTGCTAGAGAGAGAACGTGTTCACCGCAAGTAGATTTTAGTTGTTCTTATTTATTCTTAAGCTCACGGTAACTTAGACGAAAAAGAGTCAGCAGTGATAGAGAATGGGAATCATTGAGACATGTATAGGTAGATAAGGTCATTCTGGATAGAAAGGGTCAATCTTCGGAAAAAGACTAAGTCTGTTTGACCTTATTTGCTTTATTTGAATCGAATTCGTTTTACGGTGTATTTTGAATTAACCTTTTTCAAAACGACAAGTCTTTTTGACAAACAGCAGGTGGTGGGTAGGAAAAAAAAAATCATTTCATCAGTCTAAGTGGACACAATCAATTCCTTCTGCAAGCATACTTCTACCTACCTGCACACTAAGAAAAAAACAACCACAGGTCCAGTTAATCCAACAAACCGTTCTCCCATCAGATCCCACTTTTTCACATGCATAACCACACACACTTTACTCAACATTTTCTTTTGAACATTCAAAATAAGTTCAATAAACAGGGTCAAGCAAAGTGTGGGTTCACACGATTGTAAAGGAATTCCGGACCGAGTTAATCAACTGACCTTGAGCGTAGTAGTGTTGAGTGCGCTTTGGGTCATTCAAGAAAGGCAAGAAAAATAAGTATTGTCAAAGAAGACTGCAATCCCGAGGTAAATCTCAAACCAACCGCTAGCCTCAATATGTCCCCAACTTGCACGTCCCACACGCAGTAGTCCTAAGTGTGAAGATGGTGCGCCGCACACGTTAAAAAAAAAAAACCACCGGTCCCACGTCAGTGCCAACTGGTCCCAAGTGGTCTCGGACGGTCCTACGCTACTAACCGCCACGACAAATGATCCCAGGCTCGAAAACCGTTTGCACCGCACAAAAAATAATGACTGCATAAAAAACCAAAACTGCAAGCGAAAAGAAAACCGCCGCAGTGGCCGCACGTGTACTGTGTTGGTCCCAATTGGACTCAGGTGGTCCCAAGTGATCCCACACTACTACCATCAGCACCAGATGACTCCAGTTATCAAAATTGCTCACTCTGTGTGCTCCAAAAAAACAAAGGCGGTCCCAAGTGTCGAAACCCCAGGTGTTGTGAGTCTCAATGATCACTACATTGCCTGTTCATGTCCCAACTAGTCCTGCTGGTCCGTGCACTGCATCACGCGGTCTTCAAAAAAATAAATAGTTTGACACAAGGGTCACAGCTCATTCACAAGCGCCACACAACACAGTCCGCCACACGTACAACCTGCTCCAAAACTGTTGAGTGCATCCTACCACACACCTCAAAAAATAATGCCACATAATATAGCCGAACATCACTGTTGGAACCAAGTCTCAAACTTGTACTGTAGTCGGTACCAGCACGATCCCTTGCTAAAAAACTGTTAGTACCTCATCGTTAAACCAGCAGCACGTCCCCACACATAGCCTGCTCCCTATCACCAAACGGGCAACATCCTTTCATTGAAAAATATTATCGTCGCCGTACCATAAAAACGGCAGCACCCCCCCTCTAGAATGTACTACCACCAACGCGTTGAAAATTCGACAGCATAACCTCAGTCGTCGTGTCGTAAAACGGACAACATCTCCCCTGCAGTTCAGTGTCGCAAATACTACAACATAACGCTGCAAAAAATAATTGTTGTTTACGCCATAAAAAATTGACAGCATATCCCCGGTAAGTAGGGCACAGCATGCCGCACGACCAGTCTACCAACACCTCCACAAGCGCCGCCTTGAAAAAAAAAAGCTTCGCCGCCCATGAAGCCTCCCACAAAATTAATAAAACCTTAGACCTGGGTGAAAATCGAGGTCCAAAGCAACGCTCCTCCAGTCCTGCGGCATGAGCCTAGTCCAAGAGGGTTGACTTAGGAGCTGTCCCAGAGGTCCAGCACCTGCCTGACGCTGGAGCAGAGTGTTCCCTGCCTCAAGCTATGGCTGCCCTACTCCTCCTTCCCTTCACTGCAGACCTCCACTTCGCTGACGTTCCTCTAGGAGTCCCTCTACCATCAGAGTGTGTGACAACACTCAGGCAGCACGACTACTTTGTGTGGCAGCTAGGGACAATTGCCTCTTATATACTAGCCTGAGGAGTGTTGTCTATCACTCAATCCCAACCAACATCATGGGGTCACAGTACGCCCTTGATGTGCAACAAGATCAAGGGCGTACCGTGGCCGCATAACAACCACAAACTTAGTGGGGCAGTTCCCTTAACTGCCCCATTTTAATTTTTCTTTTATTTATTCAGGCTATCTCGGATTTCCACGAGATAGTTGAATTTATGAGATTTTCAAAACAATTTTTTTTTTTTTTTTTTTGATAAGGGGTTGAAAAGATACGACCCCTTTCAGTTTCATGTATCTGGCCACTTTTCCCTGGGTAGATACATTGAGGAAAATGTTGTACTTAGGCGCTGATCCGACAATACTTAAAAAGAGAAAAAACAAGAAAGACCCTTAAAAGATGGACACGGGTAGTGCGGGGCGAAAAAGGAAATTGGGACCCCACACAAGCGGGTTCTGCAGGTCTTTCCCAAGTACCACGTCGGATTTTTTTGGGTTTCCACGAAGACAAACGTTCCTGTGGTCTGTCATATGGCCTGGCCTCCAACGTCGTACATTTTTCTGCTTCACGGAAGGACATTGAAAAAAGTCACTCGTTTTTGCGGCAACTTTCTCGGTAGGAGTAGGGGTCCTCGACCTTTCCATTTTATGTAGCATCGTTGCGCCATTCATCACGCCCAACGCGCCACGTACACATGAATCAAAAACGTACCCCTAACAAAGCGCGGCACCCTGTGATTTCGAAAAGTGGTGGGATCCGCGTTTCTCAACGAAATTGGCTAACTTACGCATTATCGGATCAGAAGCTTAGCCTTTTTCTTTTATGACCTTCAATTTTCAAGCTCCTTAAAAAAACGGGGGCCTGACAGTTACCTCAGGCAGTTTCTGCTAGAGGTAGCACCTTGTGAGGACAAGTGTCCTCACAAGAATGCACAAAAACAAAGAAAAACAAACAAAATAAAAATAAAAGTAAAACTGACTCTAACTACAATGTGCCAGACCCTTACCTCAATCAGGTGCATGTTGTTGAAACCAATAGCACTCCCTCGTTTTCCTCTGCCCTCCTCTGAAAACGGAAAGGCAATTGTCAGACTGGGAGAGGTAGGAAAACAACTCGTGAGAACTCACGAGTTCAAATCCCAACAGGTTGAAACCGGGGTGCAAAATGTACGCCGACTTTGACAATTTTTAATTAAAAATTCATCGAATGAAAAAATCTCAAAAACATCACGGGTGTGGCGTGGCTGCCCACATACTTAGAGAAAACTTTTTAGGGCAAAAAAAAATCATTTAGGCCACCAAAAAACTATTGATGCAAATTACAAATTTCAGGTTCTTTCAAAATTTTGATCCCGTCTTTTTTTTTCCGTTTTCTTTCTCTTCTTTTTCCCTTCCGTTTTTTTTCTTTTTTTTTCTTCTTCCCCCCCTTGACAACGGGGAGGCAGTTAGCAGGCCGGGAGGAGTAGGTCCTCTCTCCCATCGTCTCTTTTTTCTCTCTCTTTCTCTTAACCTTCCTAACTGTAGCGGACCCACCAGGTGTGGTGCTCCGCTAGTGATAGAGATGGAGATGGAGGAAGAAGGGGGGGAGCGAGATGGTACAACGCAGCTCCCCACGCAAGACTCCAATGCACGTACTCCAAAATGTGCAAGTGAAGAATGAGACTGAAAACAGACAATGGCTGGGGTATACCCCAGCGGACTGACGGGACTGGACTGGACTGGCTGGTACCGACAGAGGTACCGGCCTGGACTGGCCTACCCCAAATACAACACAGGCCTGTGAGAACAGGCCAAGGGGCTGGTCTCACAGGCCAACCCGAGGTCCGCTACACTAACCCCCTCTCTCCCATGCACGAGTGATGTGAGCCACGAGATCTAAGATCCCGTGGCTATGAATATTCGTACCAAATGGAGGTGAGAGCCGAATGTGCTCCCACACAGCCAAAGTGACTATTACAACCACAAAGCGGGCAAATGGAGGTGGGGGCCCATTGTGCTCCCATACAGCCGAAGTGGTTGATCTTACCACTCCACGAGGGAGCCCATAGTGCTCCCACACAGCCAAAGTGGTTGCTCCTACCACTCTACGAGGTAGTGGCCTCATTTTTCCTCCTTCCATTTCTTTTTATTTATTTTTCTTTTTGTCGGTTTGCGTCAACAGTCATCACGTGCGCGTGACTTTTCAACCAGGCCTATCGAAATGCAAACCGGAGTCCGATCCCTCATGAGATCGAAAACTTTTTAGACCTTTTCTCGATTTATGTGTGTCATCCTTGCGCATGTGTCATGCAGCTTCGCGCGACCGATCTCGGTCACGTGATCTTTGTGATCATTCGGTTGAAATCGATCTCGCCACCTAAAAAAAGAAAGGGGCAGCTCCAAAAGAAGCTAGCCTAGGTCGCTGGGCTTGATCCCAATACCAGTTGTATGAAAGTCAAATGTCCTACCTACTAGGCTAACTCCTATCACAAGAGCCATAGCCGCCACTCTTCTATTGGAAGAGCAGGCCCCGCCTGCCCTAACTCCTTATCCTGTCGCCCTGTCGTCTGTCCGACAGGCGTTTGAGTTGGACGGCCCCATGGGCCAGCCTTTAAGCCGTGGGTACGGCACCGGGCCCCGAAGGGTTTGAAACAAAAATTCATAAGCCATACGTCTGAGTCTCAGTTGCGACCACTTTTTTTCAACTTACATAGGCTCTGATTTATGTGGCTTAACCGCAGCGCGTCCTCTTTTCAGGCAGGATAAGTCTAGCTCTAGCATTCCCACGCCCCTGTGTCCACCGCGGACCTATCAGGAACCGCGTATGACTGGTCACACTGCCGATTACCGCCATTATTCTCGGACGTCACAAGCGTTAAGACTAAAGTTCAGAAAAGTTTTAGTCACTCGGTCTTAGGCTAGTCTGAATAAACTTCTGGCAAATGTTAGTCTCATCAAGTCCCTTAATTCAACGAAAAAGTCAGACAGCGTCCGAGATCGAAAAACTCGAGCAGATACCTTTGTAAGGGTTTTTGCTCTGACAACGTACTTAACTCTTTTTTTTAATATCCTTTTTGCAGCGGGCCTTCATCTGCCCTGGCCTACAGCCAGGGCCTATTTGGCTATTTGCCAGTTCGGCCTGTGGGACCAGGCCGTGGCCTGACCCCACAGGCCGTATATTGTTTCAGTCCAGTCCAGTCCCGCCCGGTACCACGGTCGGTACCAGGCCAGTCCAGTCCAGTTCAGTCAGTCCGCTGGGGGTATACCCCAGCTGCAGTCTGTTTTTCGGGACACTTCACTCTCGCAGATCTTGGAGTACTTGCGT